TTCCTTGTGGTCTTGACTACCATATTTGTATTGCTGTGATTATTTTGTTTTGTTTTTGCTTAGCATACTCCCTAGCCTGTTTGTTAGAAAACAACCCAGGCCTGTCCTTGGAAATGAAATTCTAGTTTAATCTTTACAGTGCTTGCTTTATATTTGTGATTTAAAAAAAAAGTATAACTCTTGATTTTATATTTCAATGACATAAAATTTGTGTTGAAATACATTATCAATAGTTACCTATAAAGTTTATATATTCATTGACTCATAGAACAGTATGTATCTCAAGGAGTCATTCAGAGCTAGGTCATCTTTTTTTTTCACCAATGATTTGTACTGAGTCATAGTTTAAGGTAAAATTACATTGCATGATAAAGCTGAGGTATTTTCATTCATATAGGAGTCTCAATGTCTGTTTAAATTTACTCACTGAAATATAGTGCTATTTATTTGACTTAGTCATTCTGAATAATGTAGAGATACATAATTCTGAGATACTTTGAAACCATTAAAGAAAGAAAATTTTGGAGAAAATTAAAGTAGCTCATTTTTCTCCCTTTGCTGACCTTTTTCATGGTGTTATTTTAGAAACTCAAAGGTATGGTATGCATATATATCACTTGTTTGAATGTACATGTTAGGTACACATTCTCCTCCCAGCAGTGAGCTGGCTTACTTGAAGTATAGCAGAAAAGACTTACTTATGCATATCTTCCCGTGGCTATGAGAAATTCTGTGGGAATAATTATGAATTTGGGTCATGCTTCAGAGATAGTTTGAAAAGAGGAGACTTGAAGGTTGGATAAAAACCAAAGTTTGACAATTTAGATGGCAGAACTAGGGTAGAAATTTTTTGAAATGCAACCTTAGAAGTGTTCAAACCAAGTGAGGCAGAGTAAATGTGGGCCTTAGCATGGATCTATTTATTCCTCCTATTAGGAAGTTATGGTGGGAAGGGAGAGGAAGCTAGATTTACATTATAGTCTGAATAGTATACTTTGCTTTATTCCTTAGAACTCCAAAATGAAGTTAATAGTTAAGAGTAGAGGTAAGACTATATAACTTTGAATATTAGGGAGAGTATTTGAGAAATACTAGCTCAGTTACAGTTAATGTGTGGATTAAATAAATATGGTCTAAATCTTCTTCTAATTCAAGTTTTTCTTTGTGGTCCCAAAAGAATTTTTAAAATGTGCATTTTATTCCTGATTATAAAGGTAGCGCATGTTTTTCAGAACAATTTGGAAAAGTTTAAGAAATATAAAAGAGAAAGTAGAAATCACTTTTGCTTCCAAAATGGGTATGACATATTTTGCCTAATTAGTCCAGGGTTGGTGGATGTTTAGGCAGTTCCCTGTTGTTTTTTACTGTTACAAGCAGTGCAGCTTCAACATCACTGTGTGCATACTTTTGCTTACTTTGAAAGGGAAAGGCAAGTTCCTCCAAAAATATACCAGTTCACATTCTTGTCAACAAGGTTTTAACTCAAAACTTTGTAAACCTTGATTAATACATTAACTTTTAAATTATTAATATCCTTTTGATACTCTACCAAAACTTCACAGGTGATTGTTTTTCTTTTTAATCACCTGAGAATGTTTTTTCATTGGCTTTTACTTATTTTTTAAAAATATGTTTTTTATTGATTTCAGAGAGGGAAAGGAAGAGGGAGAGAGAGATAGAAACATCATGATAAATTTCATCAACCAGCTGCCTCCTGTATGCCCCCTACTGGCAATTGAGCCTGCAACCCAGGCTTGTGCCTTGATGGGGAGTCAAACCATGACCTCCTGGTTCATGGGTTCACGCTCAATCACTGAACCACATCGGCTGGGCTTCCATTGATAGGAGGGATGGGGAACATTGATAGAGAGACACATGGATTGGTTGCCTCCCACATGTGCCCTGTGTGGGATGGAGCATGCAGCTGAGGCACATGCTCTAGCCTGGGAATCAAACCCATGACCCTTCTGTCCTTGGGCTGCTGTTTTAACCACTGTACAAATTGTTAGAGCAGGGGATTGTTTCTTAAAGGTCAGTTGCAATGTAGAGTTAGAAACCATATAAAAATTTTTTTTCCTGTTCTGCTCATTCAGAACTAAAATTTTCCTGTTTCCTGTTCATACTTTTAATAGATCAATTACTTGTGCATGATTTTGTAAATATATACATTGGTAATTTGGAAAATACTGGTTCACTAAGTTATTTCAAATAATGACACATTTCATTACGAAATTTAAATTGTAATAGTATCATCACAGTTTTATCAGAAAGGGTTTGTTTGTTTCTGTAAGTATTGCAGAAGCTTTCAGGTTCATCCTGGCAGATATAAATTTTGCAAAATTCTAAGTTTTACTTGAAAGTGTGAACTTTATTGTTGGTATCAAATAGGAACAAGTATTTTAGGTTTTCTTAAATTAACAGACTCTGTTCATTTTCGAAATGCCTTTTATTTCTTTTTCTTTTTGCTTCATTGTATTGTTGAATAGAAGAGGTGAAAGTGGACAGACATCCTTCTCTTGTTCCTAGTCTTTCACCTTCAGGTCTGATGTTAGCTGGGCGGTTTTTTAGATGCCTTTACCAGGTTGAGGACCTTCTATTCCAGATCCTGCTTAGAGCTATGTCAGGTGCTTTTTCAGCATCTGTTAAGGTGATCTAATGCTTTTTCACATTTAATTTGTCATTATGGTGAGTGACAATGATGGATTTCTAAATAGTAACTTAAACTTGCTTTCCTGGGTTGAATCATCCTTAATCATGGCATCTTGTTCACATGTAATCTCTAATATCTAACTGAGTTCCGAAAAGATATAGCAGATGCTCAAAAAGCATTTGTTGAATTAAGACAAAATTCTTAAGTGGTTTTCCATTTTTGAAAACCTTTGAAAAAAGTTAGTCAATGAATAAACCAAAATAAGTTGCTACCTTATTCAATGATCATTACACAACAACTTTAACTATAGAAATATAGATGGTGACTCAGGAGGAAGTAGAAAAACCTTTGACAGTCCTTCCATTGAAGAACTTCAGACCTGTTTATTTTTATATTCTAAATATAGTTCTGACAAGCTTGATGATCTGGTTTCCTTGCACCCAGATCAGAAGCAACAAACTAAAGGGTGGAAATGAGTTATTAGAGATTGCTAAAATTAAAAAATTCCCATGGTATAGAGGGGAAAATGTCATTGTAGAAATAATTTTAAAAGCTTAGTAGCTGAGGGCTGTTGATAAGTCTTAATTGCCACTCTAGGCTGTTAATGTATATAGCTTTGTAAAAGCAGTATTTCAGAGTTGGAATAAGCTTTAGTGAGCCTCTCATCCACTTTTATACAAGTGAGGGGTTGGTGACACATATAAGAGTGGCTTTGATAAGAGTGGTTCATACATACTACGGTAGTGATTCCCAGTGGCAGTTCTGTGTGTGTGTGTGTGTGTGTGTGAGAGAGAGAGAGAGAGAGAGAGAGATGGGGGTGCTGACCTATACACATGGGCATGTATAGGCATTTCTGTTTCTGGGGAGGAGGCCATGTATGCAATTTGAACTTGTCGCCTTCCCCTCATCCCTGCCCCGATTATATTATCTTACCTCCTTATCTTCAGATGTGTTGCTACCTCACTCAGATTCACATTTGAGAAACACTGCTCTTATCCAAACTAGTAATACTATAGATAAGCCAATGCAAGCCTCCTTGAGAGGCTAAATGGTTAATATTGGGATAAACTACGAAACTAGTCCTGGCTTCTAGTTGAATGTTTTCTGTTATGCCCTTGCAATAAACATTCACAATGATAGAGGAAACAGAGAATAAAGTTACGTTTCCCAAGCTCTTTACTTAAAAAAAAAATGGGAAGGATTTATTCAAAAGGTTTTTTCCCTTCTAAAAAATCCTATACCACTTGTAAGTAAAACTGAGACATTTAAGATGGGAGAAGTTCGTTTCCTCATGATGAATAGATAAATGCAGTGTTAAGATAAATTGGTCACCTATTTATATTTGTTACTTGGGAGTCTTATAGTTCTAAAAATAGAGATGATTTCTGTGCATTTAGACTTCATATTTGGAGTTTGATTAGTTTGTATTGTTGAATAATGAATTATTCAGTAACTGGTGTAATAGAACAGTAGATTTTATTATCTGCCAATTTCCAGGGGTCAGGAGTTCAGGCATGGCTTAGCTGGGTGCTCATTTGAGGATCTTGCCTGACTGAAATCAAGATGTAAACCCAGACTGCAGTCTTACCTGAGGCTCAGTCCTCTTCCTAGCTCACTGGCTATTCCCAGAATTCAGTTTTTCATGGCTGTGGGACCAAGTCCTTCAGTTCCTAGAGCATTCCCATCATTTCCTGGCATATGATTTTTCTCCACAACATGGTAGTTTGCTTCTTTAAGTTCAACAGGAAAGGTTTTCTGTACTTTGAATCTGAAGGTCAGGCCCACCAGAATACTTTTGATTAATTTAAAGTCCACTGATAGGGATATTAATTATATCGCCTTTGCCATATAATATAACCTGATCACAAGTGAAATCTGGGAATTTTGCCCACGCTTAGAGGGAGGAGATTGTGCAGGGTGATACACCAGAGGATGGGACTCTTGGAGGCTGATCTTAGCATTATGCCTACCACAGTGTTATTAAAGCGAACAGTGACTCTTTTGTTCAGTGAAAATCAAATCTTTCCTAGGTGCCAAGCATTTCTCTAGGTCATGGAAATATAAGACTAAAATGCCCAGTTCCTGTCTTTGATGAGATGGTAGAGACCAACAATGAAGCACTGTTTGTAATGTAGTTCAGTCATGCAGCTGCTGTAGAAGTGTAACCAGGCTACCCTCTAGCAAGAGAAGGCTGGGTCAGGAAAAGTTTATTGTATCCATGGGAAATGTAAAACTACTGTTGTAGTTCTTGAAACTGCAAAATTAATTTTTAAATGAATTTTCTAGGAAGAAAAGTTTGATATTGAAGATGAGGAAATTATTAAAATCCTTTCTTCTTCTACCTCCCCAGATGGTATACCTCAAGTTTACTATTTTGGCCCTTGTGGTAAATACAACGCTATGGTGCTGGAACTGCTGGGACCTAGTTTGGAAGATTTGTTTGATTTGTGTGATAGAACATTTTCTCTTAAAACAGTTCTCATGATAGCTATCCAACTGGTAAGTAAAGCAGGGTGCTTTGAAGTCATTTGAACAATTGTGTGGTTCTCTAGTCACAAATTTATATTAAAAGTTTCAAGTTTTGCTACATTATCTTGCAGAGTATTCAACTTAGTACAAATGTTTCTGCTTACATGTTATTGTCTTTTAGGATGCATGTAACTTAAAAAACTGAATCAGGTGTAGTATATTATTTTTATGAAAGAATATTTTATTGCTTTAAGATCAGAATACTCAGTTTGAGAATTAAGTTGTTTCCAGCACTTTTCATTTAGAAGATGAATACTTAGAAAAGAAAACCCTCAAAAACATGGATTATTAATCTTGGTAATAAATTCTGATGGCTGAAAAATAGAGGAAACAAACTAATGGGAAGTTTTCTAAATTATTTAAATTTTAGTGAACCTATGGGAAAACAAAGTTAGAGGATGATTTTAAAGCAAATTTGAAATAAATGTCAATAGAAGTATGCTGCAGAAGTCTTAAAATTGTTTTTTTCGTTGGACTCACTAATTCCACTTCTATAAATTTGTCCTATGGAAGTATTCAGCTGTACTTAAATGTTTTTGTGCAAGAATATTTATAATAAAGTGGAAACAACCCAAATGTACAGAAATAACAGGATTATTTGAATAGGTTGTTAATAGCCATATACTAGTAAAGTATGCATTTAAAATAATACATACTTTTAATGCAAAGTGTGTATTAAAAGAAAGTTTCATGACCTGGAAAATGCTCATAATATATCATTAACTAAAAGTATAGGCTATATAATATTATATATTATATTATATGACCCAAAATTTGTTGACCAACTTAAATGGCCTGAGTTTACAATATGTTTACAGTATCTTTATATTGCATTGTCAATCGTGATTACCACTAAATGATGCAATTTTATTTTATTTGTAATGTTCTATTTTGTGACAGCTTGTACACTGAACATTATTTGAGAATGTGTAAAACAAAAATGTACTGTATCATTATTAGAGTATATTTGAAAATTTTAAAGTTTTAAGATCTTTTAAAACATTTCATACCTAAGGAAAATGTAAAGAAAACAAGTTACAAAAAGACTTACTAAAGGGTACTATGTTAATTGTTTTTATTTAATAGTTTAGACATTTTAAGTTTTTAAAATATAATTGTAAAAGTTGCTTGATTAATTAACTGATGAGGAAGAATAAACTGCAACTTTGTGAATATGTCTTTATATTTTTGAGTTCAAGATTTAGTATTGGTAAAGCTTTTTGATTTTATGATATAGCATTATCTGAAAGTGTTGATTAAATCAGGCTTACTGATTTGAAAGGAATTCATAAAATTCAAATATGTTCATTTACAAGTGACATTAATAGTAAAAGCAAAGAATTTTAATCATAATCAGATGTATATTTGAGAAACTATATGTTACTTTTGATATGCTACTTTCAAAGGGTTGAAACAAGCTCTGATTTTTTTATGTTTTTATTAAGAAAGTTGTCTTGCCTCTATCATGCTTTTTTATGCTAGTCAAAGCTTAAAATAAAATTTATCTTCCTTCTCTTTTTAAAATCAAGATTTCTCGTATGGAATATGTTCATTCAAAGAACTTGATATACAGAGATGTAAAACCTGAGAACTTCTTAATAGGACGACCAGGAAATAAAACCCAGCAAGTTATTCATATTATAGATTTTGGTTTGGCGAAGGAATATATTGATCCAGAGACAAAGAAACACATACCATACAGAGAGCACAAAAGCCTTACAGGAACAGCTAGATACATGAGCATAAATACACATTTAGGAAAAGGTATGTGTACCTTTTGTTTGAATTCAGTAACTATGCTAACGGTGTGAGTTTTAATATTTGTTACTATGGTTCAGTTTTAGCAGGTTACAATTGCTTTTATTACAATTTTTATCACATCTAGCTAGAGTTTACTTTTATTTATATTTAATAAAACATTTTTATTTTATTTTTAAAAATACGTTTTTATTTCAGAGAGGAAGGAGAGGGAGAAAGAGATAGAAATATCAGTGATGAGAAAGAATCATTGATCCGCTGCCTCCTGCACACCCCACACTGGGTATCCAGTCTACAACCGGGGCTTGTGCCCCAACCAGGAATTGAACTGTGACCTCCTGGTTTATAGGTTGACGCTCAACCACTGAGCCACATTGGCCAGGCTTAATAAAATATTTTCAAAATAAGTTGTTCTAGAGTAAATGAATGACAGATATCCTTGCATTCACTATATCTTTTTTTAAATATAATTTGAAATGTTCAACTTTGATATAGTGAGGGTGATGCATTTGATTATTTCTGTTAAAAGGATATGAGAGAATACTTAATTCTAACTGAATTTAGTTTGTGCAGATATTTTTGATTGAGAAATAGTACTTTGATACAATTAGCCAGGAAATAACAAATGCCTAATATATTTAATGTTAAGAGGACATACCTTAGCAGTACTGTTTACTAGCTATATGACTTCGGTTTCCTTATTTGTAAAAAGAATAAAATAATAACCTCACAGGATTTCTTACAGCTTTTATTTTTTTTCTCGTCCAGGACCACAAATTATCATTTATTTGTCATATTTCTTTAGTGTCTTTTCATCTGGAGCAGTTCCTCCCCTCTCTTTATGGTTCATGACCTTAATATTTTGGTGAGGTATAGACTGTTTTGTAGAATGTTCTCCATTTACGTCAATCTGATATTTCTTCATGATTATATTTTGGTATGCATTCTTAGCACAAATATAATAGAAGTAATATGTTCTCACTGCAAAATGTCAAGAGGTGCATGATGTCACTTGGTTTCAAGTATCTTGATCATTTGTTTAGGGTAGTGTCTACTAATTTTCTCCACTTACCAGTTTCTTATTTTCCCTTTGTTATTAAAAAGTGTTTTGTAAGTAGATCTTTGAGATTTTGTATACATGTTGTTCCTCATCACATTTTTATCCACTAGATTTAGCATCCATTGATGATTTTCTAACTCCATCAATTATATAGTTAGTTGATATTCTGATGTAAGCAAAAGCTTTCTCTTCCCCCATTTATTGATTTCTATCAGTATGGATTCATGGAATCGAACCAGCAACCTCTTGGTGCATGGGTCCAAGTTCAACCACTGAGCCACACTGGCTGGGCGAGGTTCTTTTTGTAATATATTCTTTCTCATTGAATTACTTTTGTGACTTTCTTTTTTTTTTTAAATATATTTTATTGATTTTTTACATAGAGGAAGGGAGAGAGATAGAGAGTTAGAAACATCGATGAGAGAGAAACATCAATCAGCTGCCTCCTGCACATCTCCCACTGGGGATGTGCCCGCAACCCAGGTACATGCCCCTGACTGGAATCGAACCTGGGACCTTTCAGTCCGCAGGCCGACGCTCCATCCACTGAGCCAAACCGGTCTCGGCACTTTTGTGACTTTCTAAAAACATTCAGTTCTAATCTATTGTAAATAAGCTGTGGTTGGTTTTCATATCAGAGGAAACCAAACTTAAATTTCTGCTTTTAGATTCTATCTTCTTAAGGGAGAATAGACAGGAACATATATTATCCATCATCACTGCTCAAACGTACCTACAGTGTATGACCATAATTTGTACAGGACCTTACAAGTCATCTAATCCAACTTCCAACTCCTAGTGTCGTCCAAGTTTAACTGTTCTCCTCAGACTTACAAGCTCTATACTACATGTCTCTGCTTCTGCTCATTCAGAACAAAATAGCACTTGGCATCTTCCCTGACAGCTGGCCTGATAGTAGGCTCATGGTATTTTTCTTTCCAGATGTCTGAAAAATGTAAATTTGCCCTTCTTTAAGAAAAGTAAGTTTCGAACACCTGAAATTATAAAGCGCAAGTTGGGTTTAGGTAGTGCTTGCAGGGAGTGCCTTTCAGTAGCACACTTTCTCAATAGATTTAAAATATGATTAGATAGATATTCAAATTTCAAGACTGTGTCTTCTATTAAAACCCAGCATACCTATATTTAGTATCTGTGAGAAATTTCCATTTCCATTTCCATAACAGGCTGCTTTATAACAACCAACAGAGATTCATCACCATTTTATTGTGAGACATGAACTCACAACTTCCCAATGGCTCAGTGTTAGTTTTTTTAAAGATGGTTTTTTAAATTGATTTTAAGAGAGAGAGAGAGAGAGAGAGACAGAGAGAGAGAGAGAGAGTGAGAGAGAGAGAGAAACATTGATCTGAGAACAAAAGTATCGGTCCGCTGCCTCCTCCCAATGGGGATGGAACCTGCAACTGGGACATGTGCCCTGACCCGGAATCGGACGGGCAACCTCTTGATGCATGGGTTGACCAACTGAGCCACACTGGCCAGGCAGGGTCATAATTTTGTATGGTTACTGTTTTATATAGTGATACTTCAGTTGGAGAGTGCTAAGATGTATACCTTTATCTAAGTAAGTTTAGAGAAAATGAATTTAAATTGTATTTTTTAAGATAGACTTTTTTTTTAGAGCAGTTTTAGATTCACAGCAAAATTAGGTGGAAGGTACAGAGATTTTTCTTATACCCCATGTCCCCAGACATGCATTAGCTACATTCCCTACCAGAGGGGAATAATTGTTATAATTGATATACTAGTACATACATTGATACATCATTGTCACCTAGAGTTCATAGTTTACTTTAGGGTTTATTCTTGGTGTTGTATATTCTGTGGTTTTGGACAATTTTATAATAACATGTATCATCCAGAGTAGTTTGATTTCCCTAAGCATCCTCTATGCCAGTGATGGCAAACCTTTTGAGCTCGGCGTGTCAGCATTTTGAAAAAACCTAACAGTTAAGGGTCACATACAGAAATTTTTTGATATTTGCAGCCATAGTAAGACAGAGACTTATATTTTCGATATTTATTTTATATATTGAAATGCCATTTAACAAAGAAAAATCAACCAAAAAAATGAGTTCACGTGTCACCTCTGACACGCGTGTCATAGGTTCGCCATCACTGCTCTATGCTCTACCTAATCCTCTCTCCCTCCAATGCCTGGTAACTACTGGTCTTTTTACTGTTTCCATAGTTTTTTCTTTTTCAGATGACATATAGTTGGAATTATACAGTATGTAGCCTTTTCAGACTGGTATAATTCATGTAGTAATAAGCATTTAAGACTCCGTGTTTTTTCATGGCTTGATAGCTCATTTCTGTTTAGTGCTGAATAATATTCTATTGTCTGGAAGTTCTGTAGATTATTTATCCACCTACTGGTGGACAGCTTCATTGCTTCCACGTTTTGGCAATTAGGACTAATGCTGCTGTCAACATCCATGTGTGTGTTTTTGTGTGGGCATAAGTTTTCAACTCTTTTGGGTAAATACTAAGGATTTTTAAATTTTTTTCTAAGAGTTAGGAAACAGCATTTATTTCATCTTACAACCGAATGATTGTCATACAGAAATTTTGTTGAGGACTGTCAAGTTGATTGTTACCTTTCAGGATAAAATTCAGTCTTGCTGGCTTCAATGGATTCTTGAGTACTGAGCTGAATATCATAACTTGTAAGATTGTCTTCATCGGGGTCATCATTACTATCCATGACTTTTTCTTCTTCTTTCTCTTCGTAAAGGATACCTTTCAGCATTTCATATAATACTGGTTTAGTGGTGATGAACTCCTTTAGCTTTTTCTTATCTGTGAAGCTCTTTATCTGACCTTCAATTCTGAATGATAGCTTTGCTGGGTAAAGTAATCTTGGTTGTAGGTTCTTGGTATTCATCACTTTGAATATTTCTTGCCCCTCCTTTCTGGCCTGCATAGTTTCTATTGAGAAATCAGCTGACAATTGTATGGGTACTACCATACAACTGTTTTTCTCTTGCTGCTTTTAAGATTTTCTTTGTCTTTTGCCCTTGGCATTTTAATTATGATGTGTCTTGGTGTAGTCCTCTTTAGATTCCTTTTGTT